GACATATGATGTACTTTCTCCACGATATTAGTTGTTACATTATATCGTTCAGATATCAGGATCACCCTAAACAAAGAGAATTCAATGTAGTAGTAACGAAATTAGTCATAAATACAACGCGTTCGCGACACGCGTAAACACGTAGAGTTCAATATAACAATTCCAACAATTTTTACAAATATCTCGAAAAATAGGGTCAACAGTGGTTGTTGTTCAAATGAAAGGTATTCAGAATTTCATTTTGTATAACATACTTCCGGGAACTGTCTACGAATTCTGCACTTTTTTCAAAAGTTACGTTATTTTCAAGAACAAATTACAAAATCAAATTCCTTTATCAAGCTCACCCGATCTGTTTCTTATTAAATCTGAAATGCACCAATTGCTCTTCTTCTTTTTTAAGAAAAGAAAGAAGAAAAAAGATCCGGAAGAAAGTAAACAGAGTTAGGGCAAAGACTTTAAAGGAAGTTTTTACTTTCAATATTTTGGGAAATTCTATAAAAAATGTTCAGTTTTCTTTATTACTGTATGCATTACAATAATGTAACATTTATTTGACGATATGTGTTTCTCAACAATTTTTTAAATATAGGTAATTTGTAATCCTCAAAAAGTGATGCCAAGTTTTAACAATAAAGAGAAACACTCAATTAGAGGCACTATTTTATGCTTATTTCAGATATTACAAATAACATCTTTACAATAAAATACAAAAGTGAGTTAAAAGTTGAAAAAACAGATAAAACATAGGAACAAGATAATTTGAACAGAAAATAAAGTTTAGTTTAAAACTATCTTGAAATATCAATTCAATTGACGTTATTATACAAAGATTTTATATTTCTTATTCTTCAGATACAAATATTATTCTAATATCTTTTTCCAATTAGAAATTGCAATGGTAAATGATTTTCAAAATATGTCTTTCCGTTTACTTTAGCCATCAAATTTTTGAAATAATGATGTATCTATGATTCTGATTCCATAGAAATTTTCAAACAAATCGATTTTTGGAATATTGGTGAGTCCTAAATATAGTCTTTTATATCTATTTTCTCCAACAAAATCAAATTTTTTATTTAAGAAAAATAACACTAATTTTTAAATTAGAATTATTTTCTAAAAACAGTTAATGTTTTTAAAAATTAATAATGTAAAAATAAATGATGATTACAAGTATTATTTGAAGAAGAATTATTAAATAAAGTTAATAATTACAATAATATCATCCCTAAAAATCAGAATTTTTTTATTTATTTATTAACCCATCGACTGCCACGCCCGAATCACATGTTTCGCTCAGGACGCCACGGGTGTGTACCGCTAGATGCAAAATTTGTTCTAATACTTTTTTGATTGATGTTCTAATAAAAATTTTTCATCGTTCAATGGGACACTTTTTATTTCAATGCATCTTCTAATTACCGGTTATATTCAAAATGCACTAACTGTCAATTTTCATTCAATTTTTACAATTGTAGTTTTACAAATAGTTCAAGCGCTCTGGTCACTAATGACCACCATGATAGTCAAAGTGTTAATTACCTATAATTTTACAATTATTAAATACCAATCAAAAGTAATTCTTAAACACTATTTAATTTTATATGTATAAACATGCAAAGAGGTATTACACTGTTGAACAGCACATACGGATAAGAACAAATTTAGAGAAGTATCATATATTATGAGGGTCAAGTTGTCAACCATGAAATCAATGAAATCAATGAAATCAATGAAATCAATGATTAATAATGTAATCCTTAAAATTGTTATAAATACAAAACCATATAAATACTTAATATATATGATATATACTAATATATAATACTTTATGTACGTGGTTATGTGAATATTTAGTAAAACTTATTTAAAGATTCTAGGAAAGTTGTAATGTTATTCTTTGTGCATGTATTTGATTACTAGGAAAAACAAAATACAAATTTTTCTTGTAAAACGTTTAAAGAAATGGCTAGTTATTTGTAACATTGAACTATGCTTTCTTCTCAATTTCCTCTTCTATATTATAATGTGAAAATATAAAAGATTTTAATATATACTTCAAGATAGTTTATTGATAATGTAAATTTTGCCACAATTTTTTATTTCTAATATTTAATAATTTCAGAGTAAAGAGCAAAAAGGACATTAATCAACATATTAATTAATATTGTATAATAGCTGTACAATTAACGACATAGTTTAATTTTAATTATGATTAAACAAATTATGAATGTTAAAATAAACATGTTTAGTTGATTGGGAATAATACATTCAACATATGAACATTTTTATTCTAATTTTTATTAAATCATGTATTTCATTTAAAAACATAGTCTTTCTGTAACATGTTTTGATGGTATCATTAGTTACCAACAAATATTCATCCAATCTTTCACATTGGCTATCTTTATGCTTATTGATGTATCCATGCTTGTTTTTCTTCTTTTTTTTTTTTTTTTATAATTGTGTTTGATATATCTATAAATACTTAGGAGAAAATGTTGAAAAATAAAGAAAAATTTGTATTACATTTGAAAATAACTCTACATAAATGCATAAAATAAAAGTAAGTCAAAGTTTTACTCCAAACTTTAACTTCAAAATTTGAACTTAAATTTTATCTTTAATGTATAAACCTGGGTAATTTGAATGATAAATTGAAAAGAGACATTTACAGACAATGGAAAGTTTATATTGACTTAAGAAGAGCATATTGTATAATTTAATTAAAGAGGCACTCTTGGTGTACCAAAAGAATGAACAAACTTAAAATTATGTTTAAACAAAATTGTTTAAGATAATTAAGAAATATTAATATACTATATGTATATATTCTGTAATATACTATTGGACTTTGCTTCTGTTAATATAACTAAAAGAATTCAATTCATTTATCTAAATAAAATAAAATATATAAACTTCTTAATATGAACGTTGTTATTACTGTATTACAAAAAGTATTCAACATATAATAATAAAAAGATAATATTACATTATACTATATAAACTTGCCCGTACCTCTTATTTGATCCTATGTCGAATAGTTATATTTACGTTAAAAAATCCTTCAATTTAACAGATAAGTACATTGTTTGAATTTTATTTTAAAATTAAATAAAAGAGAAAAACTAAAAGTACAAAATATTTATCTAAATTGTTTAATTCTTATAATTTAATATCCTAATATAATATTTTTAAATTACTTTTTAAAACTGTATTTATAGTCTAATTTCATAGTTTAATCTTTTCTACACTACTTCAATATATAAAATATAACAGAAGACTTTAAATATAGATACAGTATATTAGAGTGATCTCACCATCTTTTAATACACTCTATATCGATTTAATCAGCTAAAACAAATTGATAAAAGATGAAAGAATCCAAAATCACTGAGTGAAAATAAAACTGAGAAAATAGTGAATCATTAGATGGGAAATAGATATTTGAAATTGTAATAAAATATTTCAAAGGAGGAAAGTCAATTGCCATTTTTAATACTCTTCATAAAGAAAAAATGGCATTGATTTAACAATCAAATTTAAATTAAAAGAGGCAGATAAACATTATACATTTCTTATTTAAGAAAAAATTTAATAAGCATTATCTATTTATGCATATTATGCAAGTATTATACATTATATTATATTATTATATTATAGATTGGAACAACTTGGAAAGTTTACTTTATTCTAATTCATTTAACATTTTGAATAGATGTTGCGCACATAACTGATTTGAGATGTCGTCATAACTAAGAATCTAATGGATTTGAATCTAGTGTGCTGCAATAAGATTTTCTCACCCATTCCATTTATTTAAGAAGCCATTTATTTTTCCATTTATTTTTCATTTAAAAATTGCCTAGTTATTCAATTATAATGTAGCAGAACATCATTCCACATACATCACATGCAATGTCTTAACTCATTTGAAACTTCCTTTAATATTTTGTGTAAACACATATTTGTGAAATCAATATACTTTGTACCTGTCAGTTTTTCACTAACAAGTAAGTCCAATTAAAAATTTATCAGTTATCTCTTCCCATATATTTAAACTAAACTGACATTGATATTTTAACTGTACAAAACATAAAGGCTTTCACCATCTCGATGATATTTACTGAAAAAATTGAATATATTATCCTTGACAAAGCCAGTTTTATCAGTAATAAGTACAATAGATGCATTCACACATTTGTAAGAATCATGTGTAAATCATTGCTTAAATTTGTTGAATCACTGAATGGTCATATGAAAAATGTCAAGTATCATTTGTAAACAATGTGATTTCTTAATGCAAAATAAAGTGGATTTAGTATTGTTTGTGGGTAGATAGTTTGCTCTGTTTACAAAATTTGTTATATCTCATAAATAAAGACAAATAGAACATATAATTATATGAACTTTTTTTTAACTTGTTTAGACATACAAATAGCTCCTAATATAGGTCCCATATATTACATTACATCCTATATATTATGTTTATGTTTCATATGAAAATAATAAACACATATGTGCGCAGCTATGTATACACACATGCATATCCATTACAACATATAAATGACAGTTAACATATATTTTCACCTTAACTAGCCATTTGATTATTTAGCCAAAGGTTTAGTTTTATAAGAACCACATAAAACAGAATTTGGTATATAAGATACATTTTTATATCATAAATATATTACATTTAAGATATATTTTAAAGTACAAAATCTGGATGAATTTTTTGGAACATGAAACACTTTTTTATATCTTTCAAAAGTGAAGCATGCAAATGACAATGTAAATTTCAGTTAAAAATAAAAATGCATTTGCATTTTGCCAATATATCTAAGCACTCTTATAAATATTGTATTAATAAAAAATATAATTATAACCTGTTCTATTTATATCATTTATTCTATACACAAAATTGATGTCATAAATTTAAAAATGAAAGTAGAAAAAGATTGTTGATTATTGAAATTATTGAAATTTACTTTTCTTACCTTGCGTTGATTCTCTAGTGGAAGAAACAATCCACTGTACAAAAGATGGACCAAAATATAGAAATATTCCACCACACATAATAAATAATATGAGTATCTTACGACATGAGTAATTTCCATCAATTAACCGTCGTATTCGTTTTCCAATTTCTCGGTTATCAAACATCGTACCAAATCTTATCATACTTATTTAGTTTATAATCTTCAATTTTCACACGTGTTTCTATCTTTAGTTTTGTTTTTGCCAAACTGTAAAACAACATAACCTCCTTAGTTTCATCGTAATATGAACTTCTTTAAAAAAAAACTATAAAACTAATCTTACGCTTGTGTATTTTCTTTACGTACGTTAATAACATTTTTAGACATTTTATATATTTTATAACTCGCACATTTTCAACAATTATGTATCAAAGTTCTTGCTTGCAATATCTTTTTAAACTTTTATAAATATATGCTAACGACAAGTATACCATTTTATAAATAATGTAGTTCGATTGAAATACCTGTTATAGTCAATATTCTTAAATTTTCAATAAAATGAAATTAAAGGAAATAAACAAAGCGGTTTTTAAGTATATGAAACAAATGTTCAATTTTTACTTCTATAAAGGAAATCGTGTTTTTAATTTTGTAGACGATTAAATACATATGATATATTCTACAGTCGTTTAAACTCATGATTAAATAGATTGGTGCTCGTGGAGCGCTGCATTGCTCTGCTTGCTAGAGTGCGCGAAAATTGAATCCTAAAAAGGAAATAAAATTTCTTTTGCAAAGAGTGAATTATATTAAAACATTTCTGCTGTTCACAAGACAAAGTCATTCTTTTTTTAGATTGTAGTGCCATATCATTTGACTTATCGTACTCGCAAGAATTCAACAGTCACATTTAAATTCAACCTGAACCTGGTTAAATTTAACCAAGTAATGCAATATTTTTATAATTTACCATGGTCTATTGTAATTAAGATTTTATTCTGTCAATCAGTGAATTCCTTCCTGCTTAGAATCAATGAAGATAGAAGTGTTCTAACGTTGTATAATTAGCAACATAATGCACTCATGTAATGAAAAAATTTGTAAGATCCAAATCTATGGGTCAGAAACCATAAATATTGACGAAATTATTATTTTAGAAGCTATTTTTAAAGAATTATATATGACTTTGATACTTTGAATGATTTAAACAAAGGATAATGTTTCATATTTCATACTTAATTTATAGACCATTATCATTAGATATTGTGGCCAAATATAATGATATACAAAAATTGTTATTTTATGATTATTAATTGTGGTTTAGATGTTTTCAAATACATTTATGAAAAGAATTTGTTTTATATGTACCTTATAAATTAACAAACTTTTATTCTTAAGTTGTATTAAATTCAATATGTACATGGCTTTTTCAAGAAGAAAATAACAAATTGTTTGTGAAATATTAAAAAGCTAATCATGAATTATATTTCAAAGTATGAAGTGTTTAATATTATACTTATTAAATGAATAAAGACTCTTAACAGGGAAATATAGACAAATATCTTCTATTTTCTACAATAATATAATTTTTAAATTTAATAAACTGCTAATTAACTATATATTGTCAAAAATCTTTTATTGAATTTTGATATTACGTTCTTGTTCTCAAAACCTTTCACAAAATTTATATTTTTAGGAAACAGAAATTAAACAGGAAAAAATTTGTAATATTTTCTAATTTTTATATTTGTTATATTTGTAATAATTTAGGAAGAAACTTATTTTACAGACTTTGCCCTAATGCATTTTACGTTTTCCAATTTTTAAAACAAATGTTATAGTTTAGTATCAATGAGAAATATAAATCAAGGAAGTTTAACAAGCTAAATACCCTTATAATACTTCTTTGCAAAAGATATAAAATTTGAAAAAACTGCAGCTTGGATGGATCGATCCATCCAATAATTTTGAAATATTTTATAAAATTAAAAAATTCTGAATACTTTTTATTTGAATAATAATTGTCGTTCAACCTTTAGTTTTCGAGATATCCGAGATTTTTCGAGTCATCGAGATATTTTCGAGATATAAAAATTATTGTACGTGTATTGATGATACAGTATTTGGACAAAGTCACGATTCGTCTAATGTATATAACAGATGGACAAAGGTGACTGAATTCTAACTTGTGTGCTCGGCTGCCATTTAAATAAGTGACGATCTCTTCCGAGCACAACGCGTTCACAATACATGTACGAGCAAGCTTCTAACGTTTTTATTTTTCATGTAATTCTTCGTTTTTGCTATAAATCGTGCGTTTTGAGAAAAACTCACATTTTTCGGAAATTGAAAGTGATAGAGCAATTTTGCTTACGAATTTGTGTTCAGCAAAATAAACTACAAGTATTACCCAATGGATATTACAGGTTAAAATTCGTGTTGGACAGTGTTATTAGTCAAATACCAGTTGTTCAAAATTTTGTTCTTTGGCATATATGTGAAAAACATCGGAGTTAATCCACACACACTACCGTTATTTTCAAATTTTAGAAAATATATTTAAGAAATTAAATAAATTTTTTTGAATATTTTGGCTTGAAATTAAAAATGTAAAAGAAGCTGCTTTTACAAACAAGGCTGTATTAAAAAGAGTACCGCGTAGCGGAAAGAACAGCATATTCCTCCCTGAGACATGAAAGAGTGAACCGATAATAATTACACTAGTAACGAAAATCACGCGACTGATTATACACGTGTGACTAAAAATATCAGTGTACGGGTTACAATGGGAGTCGTTGCATGGAATGGAGATTTACCTGAGGATATCTTTCCTTATCTTCTTTCCTTTCCACTACTTGCAGTGCGATAGAAAAGTAAAGAACAGTTGCAAAGAAACAACAAGTAACAAGTAACAAGTCGAAAAACGAGAGACAGTAAACAAAGTGAGAAAGGAATAGGAAGTATTTTGACAGTCTGATCAAAAAATATTTCCAATTAATAGAACACTTTAGTTCCAATATAATCTTTCTGTTGGTATGTTTTTGTCGTCTCGATTTTCTTGACCCAAATTATTGAATTTCTACTTGTAAGAAATTTCCTTATAAATAGCCAACAATGAATTAAGTATGTATTGAATCAGTTTGTGGAATCGAAGAGTAATAATTTTGAATGAGAATGTGTATATGAATGATGAGAAGTATAATGACAAAAGACATAGAATAGACTATAGTGATACATATATTGAATAGCTTCTAGACTCAAGTTTAATAAGCTATATTGCTTAAGCTAAGTTGATACTTTTGATAAATTTGAATATGATAATAGAGAAATGACTGTAGTAGATAAACAAAAGTGAAAAATAGTTTCGAAAGAAATAGGAGGGATAGTGTTAGATCAAACAAAGGTAAATTGTAGAGTTAGGTTATCTAAATTTGTTATGCATTTCAGACTTGAGTTGAAACTTAATGTCTGTTGCAAGGTTTATAGATCATGCGTTTAAGATGCAATTTGATAAAGATAGTGCAATTGTATACAAAAACAATAGTGGAGTACAAATGAAGGCTGTGCATAAAGGAAATAAATATTATATCCAAGGATAGATTGTGACTGATGAAAAACAGCAGTAATCAAAGAAGGTTATATGTGGCATAGAAGACTTGGGCATGTTAGTAAAAGATTAATTGAAGAAATGAGAACTATGGATCTGGTCAAGAAAAAACTAACAAAATGAAAAGACAATGCGACTCTTGTGTTGAAGGGAAAACATATTGAAAAACACATTATAAGCTAGAAAAAGAGAGAATAATGAAGATAATTGATTTATGGCATATAGATTTAGGTAGATTTCAGATTTATATTTATAGAATTTCTATATGAGAAAAGTGAAATAAAGGATAAATTAAAGAAATTGATAAGTAGAAAAGAGAATGAATCTGAGATGAAATTAAAAGCTATATGCTCTGACCGTAGTGGGGAGTTTACTGATTATACCCTTGAAGAATGGTTTGGAAATAAAGGAATAAAACATGAGTTTAGTTCACTATGGATTTTGCAATGTAATGGATTAGTTACAGGAACGAATCAGTCCCTAGTTGAAATGACAAAGTTGATCTGACTCCGAAATATCTATGGGCTTCTGAGGAGAAGTAGTGTGCATAGCTGTGCACAGCTGTGCACATAAGGAATAGAATTAAATCATTGGTGCATGGGGAGACACCCTATGAATTGTGGAAAGGAAGGAAGCTAAATCTGAAATATATGAGGTTTGGCTGTATCGCACATGTCTTAGAGAAAGGTGTTAAAAAGGGTAAGTTTGAAACAAAAGTAATTAAAAATATTTTTGTAGGATACACTATCAATAATTCTTGCAGAGTTTATGTGCCACAAATGGAATTAATGCGATTGTGATGTAAAGTTTCATATAGCAAGGTATAGAGGAGTCATGTGTTACATAAACAGAACATAGAGGAGAAAAACAGAAAAAAGTAAATAAGAGTTGATTTAATATTCATGGGAATAGACAATAAAAGTGAAGATGAGGAAAGTAAAATGGAAAGGAATATAGAAAGTGACATAAGAGGAGAAAGTAATATGATATAATTTAATAGTCACAATAATATTGAAAGAGATGGAATTGAAGAAACCGAAGAAGAGAATAACAGGAGAAATAAGTGATGAAAGAGAGATTCGAAACAACAATTATATCATTGAAGAATGAGAGGTGTAACAAAAGAGCAGAAGACCAAAAGGATCAACAAAGAAAGATAGAAGAACAAGAAGTCAAAGATAAAAATGTTAGAAAGTTGCTAAGAATAAGAAGTAAGAATTCAGCTATGTCCATAATAGGCAGAGCAGAACTGAACGAGGAAATGGATTGTATAAGAAAACATAAATGGATATACAGTATCAAAGAAGATTCACATATAAAACAAGCACGTTATAAGGCTTGCCTGTTAACTGTCAGGTGTGCACAACATTCAGGATATAATTTTGATGAGACCTTTGCACCAGTTGCCTGGATATAATCGATAAGGCTAATCTTCAGTCTGGTTGCACAGAAGAGCAAAGTGAGAACTGCTTTCCTACATGAAACCTTGAGCAATGAGATATATATGAAAACACCTGATGGATATGGCTATGGAAAGGACACAGTCTGTAAATGAAATAGGAATAGATGGATTTATATATTTCAGCTTATAATGCTGATCAAGAAATGGACTCGGTTTTACATTAAATATTTTATGACTCATTTGCTGCTCCTTTCATTAATCACTTGCGCTTGCAAGAAATTCACAGACGCGTGTGCCAGAACAATCCAGTGTAACTTGTTGGGGGCGTCACGCAGTGTTCGATGCCTTAGAAAAATCGGAAAAAGATTTATATCTTCTAAACTAATTTATTTTCGACCTAGGACTTGTAATAGTTTTTTGAAGGGAATATAACACATCGATTGATGATAAAATTATACAAATATAAATTGTAAATTTGTTTATTATATAATCATGCAAAGTGTGGTATCTCTTGAAACAGTCTGGAACATGTAATGGCACAAGGCATTTTTTACATTCCCATGTAGTTTCACTGCGTTTTTTTGTGTTTGGCACATACTTTATACCTTTGCTGTGGCTTTTTTTTTTTTTGCATTTGTGGATGGAATATTTTTCAGCAAATTGCTTTGCCTCTAAACGATCGGGTGTGCTACCAACAGACATCGTTCCGCGTTTTTTATAATCGGAAATACATACAGCTTGTAAAATTTGCTATGCCACATCTAATCGAAACTTCGGAAAGGAAAATTTCTTGCTTTTTGCTACATCTATTTTCTTACGGAACAAAACATAAGAATTAAAAAGCGCAATATCTGCTAAATAAAAACATATTTTTATGTAACTTTTAGCATATTTTCTCTTGGGGGAAAAAGAAGATAAGTAACTATCTTACAAATCCACCCCACCCATACCATCGTTATTCTCCAGAGCAATATCGGGTTTTGTAACAGGGGTATTATTATTTTTCCACCTCTTCTTTTCCACTTCCATCATCTCTATTTTCGAATGCTTTGTGGACATTACATATATACGTCTTTTTTGTCTTTCCATTTGGCAATTAAGATACCATTAGACGATCTTGAAATCATATCAGATCGTTTCAGTTTTGTTGCTGCAAGTTCTTTGGGCATATTCTTCTTATTCCACCTCACTGAACCTATGGCATTAGTTTTTGTAGATTGTAACTTTTCAAATAGACTTGGTGAAGAATACCGATCAGTTATTGGTGTGCACATAAACATCGTAACATTTTTCGATACACTTGTGTCTGCATTTATATTTCTATCTTGATCCGTGTATGTCTTAAATTGAATACAATATCCCGACTTTGATTCGCATAGTTTATAGAATTTAAGCGGGCTCTTTTCGATGAATTGTATGACATGCGGCCTGTATATTTCATTAGCGATTCATCTAATAATACATTTTCCTCGAGAATGTAAATAGTCTTAAATTTTTCATTGAAATAATCGATTATACTTCGGAATTATTGTCTACAACTTCGTTGTTAGTAAAATGTGTCTTAAGTGTTGTGTTAACTGTTAAAGTGTCCAAATCTCGAAAATGGCATGGTTTTTCGAAATATCGGAGTTTCGATTATGCTTCTTTTTGATCAATAAGATTGAATATTGTTTTTCTTCACTTGCGACATGAAAATGCATAAAACAAAATAAGCTTTTACTTCGTCTACATTCGTATCCCACCGATTGTCTTCATACTTTTATAATTTACGAGTTTCATTTTGAAGTGTCTGACTCGCGTAACGATTAGTTTCTGTCACAATGATTTGCCAAAAGTCTTCCGTTAGTATTTCATTTGCCATTTGTAAAACTGTGACATTTTGTCCAAATGGTATATTTATTTTAGAAATTCGTGAATATTTTAGTTATATTTTCGATATCTTTCCATATCCATTCATTAAATGTAAGATTAATTTCACAATCTTCATTTTTGCTTTTTTCCTCATCATCAGATAATATTCTACGCCGATTTCGAAGTGGAAAAACAATTTTATCGAAATCACTATCACACGATAGTCTTGTTTTTCTATTTGTCGAAATAATATCGTTAACTTTACTGTCGCTTTTCATTTTCGAATATTCATTTTAGAACATAAAATATTGACAACTATACGCTATGCAGTAGAATGAGAATCTGTGCTCTTACAAACAATCCCAGCTGACGTGCCGCGCACGTCGTGGTTGTTTCTGTGACAATTGCTGACGATGTGTATACCACATCGTTGGCGATTCTGCGATTTTGCGACAAAAGCATTACAACGTGCTTAGCACGTCTTTCCAGGGCAAGTGGTTAATAGAACATTCATCTAATAGAGTGTAATATATTATGATCATCTTACTTACATCATACTTTGTTTTTAGTTCTATATTATTGTAATTTGTTTTTATTTTTTTGTACTATTTATTATCCTATATTCTGACCTATTTTATATCCTTATTTGTATAATTTCTCTGCACATATACTCTCACTCTCACTCGTACATGTATAGACTTTTGTTCTTATATGCCTTTGTTCTTTCCCTTTCTATCCTCTTATTGCGCTATCTTATTATCGCTACTTTATACATTATTATTCAGTTGTTAAGCTCTTCTTTTCCTTTTCCTATCTAACAGTGCACACCATTCTACGTCTTCTTCTGTGTATTTCTCGGACATGTGCTATAATGTCCCTGTTTTTTCTTTGCAGAGTATACATTTTCTCCGCACCTGATTTTCCTAATATCTGTTGTCATCTTCCATGTTTCCAGATCTGACTCTTGCTTTTACCTTTTGCATCATTTTTTTCCTTTCAATTTGTAGATATGCAAGTACTTGTGTATGGAATTCTATTTCTTTATACCTCTTGTTGTATGTTGATTGTTGGATTTTCTCGTATCAAATTTTTTTATCTATTTATTTCAATCCTTCTGTCCTTTAGCTTGTCACTCACTTTTGCTCTTCTCTTTTTTAGAGACCTCACTTTTAAACCTTCTTGGCTGAAGCTGTCTGGCTTTTTATAGTTTCTTCCGTGCATTTCTTGGTGAAAGGTTAACAGTAGTTTTTCAACCTGTTCCTGTTCTTTCCAGCCGCGAACCTGCACTCTGTAACTCATCATTATACTTACCACCAATCTATCATATAACCATATTCTTTTTCTAAAGCTATCTCTACATAACCTTTCTCCTAATCCCCATACATACCTTGTCGCTGGCGTACCCTTTCTAACGAGGTTGTTTATGTGATCTTTGCTATTTTCGTTTTTATTAAAAGTGTACCTTAGGTATCTAAAGATTTTAACTTCTTCTATTTCCTTCTCTTCCCAGCACCATTTTCTGTTCTTCCTCTACTTTTCTTAAATAACATCACCTTAGATTTTTCGCAGCTCAATACTAACTTCTTCTCCTTTAAGTAGCGTTTATCATCTTTTTTTTATCATCTCACTTTTATCATCTCCTTTAGGATCTCTTCGCTTTTTACCAGTACCACGACATCGTCTGCCTACGCTAGGCTCCATATTCTGGGACCGACGGGCCCCAACCCAGCTGTCCGTGGTCCATCCCGGCCTCGGTCCGGGGAGAGGAAAGAGACTGTCCGCCCATATCAAAGGCGCAGGGTCTTTCGTGTGCGCGAAGTCTCACGCGTTGACCCCTCCGGGGTGGCGCGCGTCGCCTGTGCGACGCCGCAACCGCAGCCTCCGCCGTCCTTCGCGCGAAAGACCCGCGCTAACCCGCTCGTGCTCACGGGCCCTTTCAGCGGCCTCCTGCAGCATCACGTGCTCGCAGAACGAAGCCATCGCCTTCCAAGCGCACCCGCTCTCCACCATCTTCGGCACGATGACGGAGAGCGAGAGGTCCCACCTAATTGAGGCATGACCCTGCCGCTGCTCAAAGACTCCGCTACATTCCGATCGCTAACGCACTGAAAGGATCGCAAATGTTTGTAGAATTAAAAGGCATATTGTAAACCGTGGTACAAGTCCGGTGTTTTTCGAGACGGGAACCCGATCAGAGTAAAACGTACAAGCCAGCTAGATGAGAACGTTCCATTTGTACCTTCCGTTCAGGGTTTGAGTTGTTTTTTTTTTCTTTTTTTTTTTTTTTTTTT